TTCAAGACCTTTAATTATCAGACAAGGGGCGTAATGGCTACAAAATGCTCAATCTCCATTCATTTGTCTCGGGACTGGCTGATGAATGGTAGGAGTGCCATCACAGAGCCCTCTGTGTACGTACAACACTGCACACCTACCAGCCACCGCCACAGGAGGACCAGCACAAGCGCCGCTCCAATACATTGCCAGATGTCTACCTAGACCACACGTTAAGATTTCTCCTGATGAAGAGGATGCTCCAAAAATACAGAAAACCGAAAACAAAGCTGCCTACTAAAATCTGAATTTGGTTCAAATCCAAGGCAGAACTACATTTAGCCTTCACATATAAAGAAATTCCAGAATGAATTGAGATTCTATGATGATTTACTCAATATCTGTGCACAGCACAACGCATTTAAAAATGTTAATTTTAGAATTTTTCCATAATGTTGTCCTGTTAGCTTAGCAACATGCTAACATCAAATTACTGGAATCAATTATTGATTCCATTTTGTCTTAGAAAAAAGTACCCTACATAGGTAATAGACAACAAGGCAGCTTACTAGGCTTTGGTACAGAAAAATTGAAGAACGAGGCATAAACTGGAGACTCGAGCAGATCAAGTCCACAAGGTTCTTTACTCATTGTTCAATAAACGTGTGGAAATAATATAGATTAAGAACATGAGCACTTACTGTGGATCTGGTAGGTATCGTAAAACAATGCTGCCCATTTCTGGAGAAAGAGAGAATAACATATGCTTTTTAGATCAAGATTTTGAATACATCAGTGATGTCAAAAAAAAAATCACGCATTTGTTGGCTGTAATGTGATGCTGAGCTTCATGAAAGAGAATAAAAGCCAAAGGTTCTGGTCTAGACATGGGAATTTGTCACAATGACACAGGCAGTTTGACCACACTGACAAGTCCCACAGCAACTACTATAACACCAAATTAATAAATGACTAATATCTAAACACAAACACACACATAACAGTGGGGAAAAAAGTATTTAGTCAGCCACCAATTGTGCAAGTTCTCCCACTTAAAAAGATGAGAGAGGCCTGTAATTTTCATCATAGGTATACCTCAACTATGAGAGACAAAATGAGAAAAAAAATCCAGAAAATCACATTGTAGGATTTTTAAAGAATTTATTTGCAAATTATGGTGGAAAATAAGTATTTGGTCAATAACAAAATTTCATCTCAATACTTTGTTATATACCCTTTGTTGGCAATGACAGAGGTCAAACGTTTTCTGTAAGTCTTCACACACTGTTGCTGGTATTTTGGCCCATTCCTCCATGCAGATCTCCTCTAGAGCAGTAATGTTTTGGGGCTGTCGCTGGCCAACACGGATTTTCAACTCCCTCCAAAGATTTTATATGGGGTTGAGATCTGGAGACTGGCTAGGCCACTCCAGGACCTTGAAATGCTTCTTACGAAGCCACTCCTTCGTTGCCCGGGCGGTGTGTTTGGGATCATTGTCATGCTGAAAGACCCAGCCACGTTTCATCTTCAATGCCCTTGCTGATGGAAGGAGGTTTTCACTCAAAATCTCACGATACATGGCCCCATTCATTCTTTCGTTTACACGGATCAGTCGTCCTGGTCCCTTTGCAGAAAAACAGCCCCAAAGCATGATATTTCCACCCCCATGCTTCACAGTAGGTATGGTGTTCTTTGGATGCAACTCAGCATTCTTTCTCCTCAAGATGAGTTTTGGTAGCCTTTGTTACTTTGGTCCCAGCTCTCTGCTGGTCATTCACTAGGTCCCCCCGTGTGGTTGTGGGATTTTTGCTCACAGTTCTTGTGATCGTTTTGACCCCACGGGGTGAGATCTTGCGTGGAGCCCCAGATCGAGGGAGATTATCAGTGGTCTTGTGTGTCTTCCATTTTCTAATAATTGCTCCCACAGTTGATTTCTTCACACCAAGCTGCTTACCTATTGCAGATTCAGTCTTTCCAGCCTGGTGCAGGTCTACAATTTTGTTTCTGGTGTCCTTTGACAGCTCTTTGGTCTTGGCCATGGTGGAGTTTGGAGTGTGACTGTTTGAGGTTGTGGACAGGTGTCTTTTATACTGATAACGAATTCAAACGGATGCCATTAATACAGGTAACGAGTGGAGGACAGAGGAGCCTCTTAAAGAAGAAGTTACAGGTCTGTGAGAGCCAGAAATCTTGCTTGTTTGTAGGTGACCAAATACTTATTTTACCGAGGAATTTACCAATTAATTCTTTAAAAATCCTACAATGTGATTTTCTGGATTTTTTTTTCTAATTTTGTCTCTCATAGTTGAGGTATACCTATGATGAAAATTACAGGCCTCTCTCATCTTTTTAAGTGGGAGAACTTGCACAATTGGTGGCTGACTAAATACTTTTTTGCCCCACTGTATAAACAGAATATACAGAAACTTTATAACATTTTAGCGGATAAAATATATACAATTAATTACATGAAATTTAAATGTAAAATATGCAGTATATAGTCGACATAGCAGTGGCACTGAAAACCATGGTGGCGAATAATTTATCCGAGGGTCATGATGTAAATAAATAAATAATAATGGGCTGAGAACTGAGCCCTGTGGAACACCCTGTTCGAGTAAGACAGTGGGTGATATACAGTTATGCATGGTGATGTAGTATTGTCTGTCTGTCAAATAGGAGGAAAACCAGGATAGCGCAGCTCCTGAGATGCCAATCTCTGAAAGGCGTAGGAGTAATAACTTATGACAGACAGTATCAAAAGCTGAGCTGAGATCAAGTAATAAGAGTATGGAAAGACTGCCCGAGTCAATAAAGTAAGAGGTCATTAATAACCCTGAAATACTAAAGCATTGCAGTACTATGATGCAAGCGAAAACCTGACTGAAATATATCAAACTGACTGCTGAGAGCTAGAAATGACTGCAGTTAAGTGGCAACAACCTTTTCCATGATTTTTGAATTTGTATATTTTATATAATGATTTATATATTTTATGCTTTATAAATTGTTACACATCAAAAATGCAATCTAATGTGCTTGCATGCATAGTGATTTCATTAAGGTTCACTCAACGTTTTACCATTCAAAACTGCAAAAAATCAACCTATACATTTTAACATGGCGAAGATTTCAAAGAGTTCATGGGCTAAAAATACAAGTGGCATTAGCAGGGGTGTATTCCAGAAAGCACGGTTAACTTACCGTCAGCTAAACCCTGAACTTTCGGTTGATTAACCCCAAACCTTGCTTACTCGAGGTATGTCGTTCCAAAAACGCGTCCGGGAGTAAGTTAATTCAACTTAGAGAATGTTCCTGGTTAAGACTCAAGACATTCTCAACAGAGCGACGAATCAACGAGTCACTATTGAAACAGACGCTAAGAAAAAGCGTGCCATGCTGTTTCTTTCTTCTTTTGTTCAATGGTCGTTTACATGCTTGGTGCATATCGCCACCTAATTGATGGTTGAGCAATCATTTTTATTTTTTTTCCATTTAATCTTTAATCCTTGATAATATGAATTATATTGTTTGTTTGATGCTAATTATATATGAAGTCACAGCAGATATGTATTTTGATTTAGAATTTAGACATAGAAAATGCCGATCCATGTGTGAGATGATAATATATATATATATATATATATATATACACAAAATATAATTAAACATTACCTTGTCATAGTGTTTTATAATTTATACAGATAACTGTTATATATGCCAATAAATATAATAACCATATTAGAATAATATATTACCTTATTTATTAGCCTGCTTATATTAGCACTTCATCAGTAACATATACACATATACATATATATATATAATAGGCTATAATACATATTGTAATATTATATAATGTTGTGCGGCTGTGCGCTATCTGTCTCGCCCACTGAAGGCTCGTCAGTAGATCACACGTGCACTAATAGCGCTGAAGCGAACTAACCCTGGAACATAACCTCCTCCGGAGGCTTCCGGTTATCTTCAGAGAGCAAGTTACTATGGTTACTTAAATATCCTGAAAGTAACCTCTGATTTTGGAACCGAAAGCTGAGGTTATCCGCTCGCTTATCCTCGAACATACCCAGGTATATCACATAACCTGCTTTTTGGAATACCCCCCAGGACTCTGAATGGCACTGACCAAGTTTCTTGGCCTGATTGTGAGCATCATCTTCAAGCTTGCTGAGGAAGGGGTTCTCCTGTGTGAGGAGCACCTTCACGTCCTCCACGCTGATGTTGATGATTCGGGCTCTGATGTAGGGGCACAGCGTGTAAATACCCTGAAGACAAACAGCAGCATAGAGTCAAGGACTCAAAGGACTTCTCTTTCACACACAAACAAATAAACAAAAACACACACATAGCCTATCCTGCTCTGAGAAAAGCATGTAACCACAGGATGATTAAGTCTAGTGCAAAAATTAATTCCACTTTGACATTTACTCAGCCTTGGAAAGAAGCAGACATGTTTTAATCCATTTCTTTATCTATAGGAAGAATAAATACTCGTACACAAAATTTGCAGAACAGATCTTCCTCTAGTTAAAAATCAATAGACTGTAGTGGAAAATGGTAATGATGTTCCCTCTAGAGCAGACAGGACGGCAAGCTGAGGTTATTAACGGCACATTGAGATTAACTTGTTTCCCTATAGACCACTAAACCTAGTTTTTGAGCAAAAAAACATCTGAGACAACTGAGATATCTGAGTGTTGCTTTAATTATAGACTGATTACTGCGGTACAACTTAATATCCAAAGCCTTTCTGGTTAAAATTGCATGTGAAAACAAACCATTATATCTTGCAGAGATATCTTTGGGATTAGACTGCTGCTTTTCAACTTGAAAAATATCTTTTAATATTATTTTTAAATAAATGAAAACACGTCTACACAACACTATCTTTATTCTAGAGGTGAGTGTCCAGTATTCATTTAGGATTCATCCATTTTGGATGCATGCAGATACACAAGTGATTCATAAAAAATTATTTACATCAAACTGTGTTTTTTTTACATACACCTACCTCCTGAGCCAGTCTGAAAGCACAACCAAACTGTTCTCCATCAGTATTTCTGGACCAGACCTTCACGCCCGTGTTTATAACCTGCAGAAAGACAGAGAAACTGGGCACGAAGAACGCCATCTACAACAGTGCTTTGCTGCTTGATTTTTTTTTTAATTTGGTAAAACTTTACAGTAACACACAAAGATACCTATTCTACGTGTATTAATGCTTTGATTTGAATGAAAACAGCGCATCCGTGAGGCGCGGCTGACACAGAAGAGCATACGCTGCTTGCGTTCAGCGGATATTCTTCAAAATGACGCTACGGTGATGCAGAGGAGATGACTTGTTGAATGAAGTCGTTATTTTTGTTTCATGTCTTTCATACTTCTCTGGACCTTGACAGTGTAATTTACTTGGCAGTCAATATGACAGTCACAAGCCTCCCGGTTTTCATCCAAAATATCTTAAATTGTGTTCCGAAGACGAACGAAGCTTTTACGGGTTTGGAATGGCATGGGGGCATGGGGTAAGTGATTAATGACAAAATGTTCATTTTGGGGTGGAGTATCCCTTTAATAACTTCTAATTACAGTAATTATATAATAATAATAATAATAAATGTTCTTATATTATTATTATAATAGTAATATTGTATTTATTATTTTAATAAGTATTACCACTAATATTACTTACTACTATTACTATTAATACTTGCTGCTGCTAATAATTTGTAGCGTATATTACTATACTATAATATTATTATAGAATTATTACTATATTATTCACACTTACTATTAGGTGACATAAAATATGAAATAATATAATGTAAAGTTCTATATAATTAATTACATATATATATATATATATATACACACACACACACCTACATATAATTCATATCCAAAAATACGGTACTTCTAGGGTACATTATATAATTAAAATTATTAAGTACTATTCAGTTAAAATAGTTCTGCATTACTACCCAAATATCATTACAGCATGTGAATTGCTCAGAACACAAATAATACAACAAAGGACAGGGTGTGTAAGTGTTTACAGTGTGTTTCTTTGTTGTAACGTAACTCCAGTGATGTCTGTTTACATTATCAGCAGATGGTTGTTTCATACTTGATGAATGTGAAGGCACTAGAGCACAGATAGAGATGAGATCATAGTGAGGCTGCTGTCCCCATCTGCCTGTACGCCATCTTCAATCACTGCTAGCACTGATGAAGGGCCATCAGAGTGTGTGCGCGTGTGTGTGCTCTTGCCTTCATTCTCTCGCTGTTGTTGAGCAGAACATTTCGGAGCTCTTTGGACACCATGTACAGGTGCCTCTTCTTTCCTTCATGGGTGCGAGTCAATACGTTCAGCTTGGGGAAATCTGGAGACAGGTTGTAGAAAGCTCTGCAGCAGACAAAGAAATATCACAGCATAAAATAAATGATGGTTAGACAAAAGGAAAAAAAACACATATGCGCACAGCTCTGAACACGCTGCGACATATGGAGCAGAGGCGTTGTCTCCAACAAGTCAAAATGGCGGGTTGCCAGCGCTGTGGCACTGTGCATCTGTGTGAGAAAATAAATAACATTCATCACAAACAAAAGACACCGTGACTGAACGATAATGATCATATCACCCATTCTTCTGATTGGTCACATAGGATGTATAGTGTAATAACAGATAAAACACACACACAAAGGCCCCGGCCCACTCAGAGCATATATATTCAGACATGACAAACACACACCGAGATCAGAAAAATACTGCTTAAAAAAAAAAAAAAAGCAAGATATGAGAACGTTTGTAAAAACAATATTTGTATTGAGCAGCGAGGCTGTGTAAATGGAGAGGAGGCACTCACTGGATGGGAGGGAAGATGGGGTCATCCTCTGTCAGAAACACAAAAGGATCCTCTTTGAAGCCAAAGAGTTTCATCTTCTTTGGAGGAGGGGGGCTATAACAGACAGAGCACTTCATGTCAATGTGGAGCACAGTAACTGAAGAGAAACTGCAGTAACACATACCGTCCATCAGGGGCACTGAAATCAACACCACAAGTATCGCCTGAAAGCCAATAGGTTTGAAATGGAATTCTTTCTTACCGAATTCTTAAAGAATACTGCACAGTTGCTTCATTTCTATTATGTGAAACAACAGATTACGCAACAATAAATGGTTCAAACTGTCATCAAATAATTATACAAGTACAATGTCTGTTCAACGATTAAAACACATCAAGACTCAATGCAACGACATGTTTGATTTTAATATGCTGCTGTTATTTTTACAGTAAGGAGCCATTTAAATAGCAATTCACGCAGCTTCCAGATGGAAATGTTATTTTGAAATGAATTTAAATTGTGGCCAATTGTCTAATATGTAACAGTAAAAACAAATGCTAACAAATTTAAATTAATAACGGTTATAATAATAATAAACATATATACACACACACACACACATATATACACACATACACACATATACATATACACACACACATACATACACATATATATATATATGATAATAATGTATGCTATATAATTAAAATAATCACATATATTGATTATTATAAGTAATTTTGTTTTATTACTATTGTAAAAATATAGTTATGTTTATAAAATAGTTATTTTATTATTAAAATGGTTATTAATATTAACAGCTTTAATGATTGCTTAAAACTGTTCTAATAATAATAATAATAATATTTAGATCTGTTTGTTATTTATGTTGTTGCTAGAATATTAACTATTGTTATTGTAATGTTATGTAACAGACACATTGATTATCATTAGTTATTATTATTATTATTACACATTAACAAGATGATGTTAACAGGGCTGTGTTTGAAATGTCTTGAGCAAACTTTCTCATCTGGGAACTATGGACATGCCCATCCTACCGTGATCATGGACACCCTAAAAATGCTACTGATTTTCTTGCCATTGTATCGATTTATTTTAATATTTAATATTACTTTACCAAGATCTTGCTAATTAAATGTTTAAAATCAACAAAGATATAACACAAAAATAGATCTACTGATTTATAATACTGGTTATTAAACCACTTATGACTCTTAGGCTTTATCATCATCAGCCAAAATGTCGTCTTTGGTGCGTCCCAAAATCCACAGCACAGAGAGAACCAAAGAATGAACGATCAGCAGAGAGAACAACAGGGTGACTGCTGCACCCACACACACACACCTGGCTGAAGATACTCACCCACAGACATTATCTGTCTTGACCTCTGAAGGGTCAGGGGTATCTGGGACAGACGGGTTTCCCTCTGCAGGAGTCTCGCCCTCCACCGATTCCACAGGGGTGTCAGCGGATGAGCTGTCTGCTGGTGGGACGTCAGCGGGAGACCCCCCCATCTGCAGCTCCTCTGCAGGAGCCGCCTCACTGGAGGAGTTCACCTCCTTATTACGAAGCTACAGACAAAGAGAGGACAGAGACAATAGCTGTGTTTCCATCCACCTATTTTTATGCGCATTTTGGGATATCGAAAGAAATAAAAAAACCCCGCTTGATGGAAACACCAAGATGTGCAACAATTCTAAAAATGCACATTAAAAAACTTGTGCGCTCAATTAAGTAGGACAAATTTCTTACCCAGTAAGAAAACATGCGTATAAACTATGATGGAAACTAGTGCTGTCAGTTGATTAATCGCATCCAAAATAAATGTTTTTGTTTACATAATATATTTATGTGTACCGTGTTTATTTATCATGTATATAAATATAAAATATATTTATTTAATAATATAAAATATAATACTGTAAATATATAAATGTAAATATTTTCAAAATATATACTGAATGTGTGTGTATTTATATATACATAATAAATAAACAGTACACAAATATATTATGTAAACAAAAACTTTTATTTTGGATGCGATTAATCATTTGACAGCACTAATGGAAACACTTTTACAGAATAAATTCCTTAATTCGCATTTTAAAAAAAGACATGCGACTTTGTGATGGGACAGCATAACTGGACGAACCAATGGACCGATCTCATTGCACAGCATCTGAAATGCTAGTTTTGTCATTCTAAAATGCTTAAGCAAAGTCTCGTCAAAGTGCTTCGTTATAATTAACTCCCAAAACTGCGTTCCCAAATAGCAGGCACCGAAAATAAGATAGCATGACCACATTTCGTCTGCGCGCTCCGAAGCTCGTAGTTTATTGTATACAAAAATTATTGTATACAGTACAGAAGCAAATTAATTTTTTCTTCGTGATATTTAGCCCAAGTTAATCAGGAAGGGACGATTTTGTTCTCTTCAACTAACTGGATGGAAACGGTGCTTTATTCGCAAATGTTTTAAGTGAGTGAGTGACGTGACATGTGGCCAAGTATGGTGACCCATACTCGGAATTAGTGCTCTGCATTTACCCATCCAAAGTGCACACACACAGCAGTGAACACACACACCGTGAACACACACACGGAGCAGTGGGCAGCCATTTATGCTGCAGCGCCCGGGGAGCAGTTGAGGGTTCGGTGCCTTGCTCAAGGGCCCCTCAGTCGTGGTATTGAAGGTGCGAGAGAGCGCTGTACATTCACTCCCCCCACCTACAATCCCTGCTGGTATGAGACTCGAACCCACAACCTTTGGGTTACGAGTCCGACTCTCTAACCATTAGGCCACGACTTCCCCATTATGCGATATTCCAAGTTTCTTAACTGGTTGGAAACAGCTATAGGTACACACGCTAGCAAAGAGGGTGGATTCATCCAAGAAAACAGCTTTGTTAGTTAAATCGACAAAAAGATACCATAAATGTACTCTCATACAACTTCAATGCTCTGTTTGCATATATTTTATGTTTCTAATACCTTTGGGTAACGGCGATTCCATGGCATGGGCGCCTTCTTCACCAACACAGCCACAAAAAACCCACCAGTGTTCTGGTGATGGGGCAATATTCTCATACTGAAAACACAAGCCAAATGTACAATAATGACTAGAGATAAATTAGGATCACACACAGTGACAGTTTACAGGTTAGTATTGCTTCACTTTTACTGTGGTTGTATACTACCATCTAGAGGAGAGTTCTGGAACATCACAAGCATGTGCAGAGACAGTTTGAAGCTGTTAGTGTTTTGTGTTTGTTTGATTAAAAGCTATTAGTTTCTGTTATAGACAGATATACATGATCAAAACAAACTCACCATCTCTCCAGCTTCATATTGGCCAGCTTTTCTGGGTCTGTTGGGGGAAACATGGTGGGTCTGATCTGAGTGTGTCGACTTGTTGGCACCTCTGACCAGTCAGAGAACCACTGACCCTCTTTGGTCATTACCTTTAAAAGAGCACAGAGACCTTTTTTGTAAAGAAATCAATTTTATTCAGCGAGGATGCATTAAACTGATTAAAAGGTGACAGAAAAGACATTTCCACAAAGCTGTTTGCAACGTGCTCTTGCAGTCACTTAATCGTTTATTTTTGTGCGTCAATCTATTAAATTAGTGTATAAGACCATGATCCGCACTCACAAAATAGTCTTCTCTTTAGCGTTTATTTTATATTAAATCGCCAATAGGATAAAACACAAACATTACGGCTCAAGGCCTTCTTCAGTGTGTTGAAGAAGCAGAGCACACGCTAAAGGAAGCATTGAGCTGAAACGTTTGTTTTGTCCTATTGGTGATTAATGTAAAATAAACACTAAATAGAGAACTATTTTGTGAGTGCAGATCATGTTCTTATTTACTAAGTAAAGACATTTAAAATGTTACAAAATATCACTATTTCAAATAAGAGTTTCCACAAAAACAGGAAGCAAGTACAACTGTTTTCAACATTAATAAGAACAAAAAAATTATTGAGCAGCAAATCGTTTCGCTAGATAAGACCCTTCTTCCTCGTCTGGGATCGTGTAGAACACTCTGAAGCTGCAATTTGGACCTTCCACCAACTTCCAGTGAACCCCACTGAAGTCCACTATATAGAGAAAAACCCTGGAATGTTTTCCTCAAAAACCTTAATTTCTTTTCGACTGAAGAAAGAAAGACATGACCATCTTGGATGACATGGGGGTGAGGAAACTACACTGTAAAAAGTAATCACTGAATCTACTTAAGAAAAGCGAGTAAACATAACTGATTTTTACAAATTTGTTGAATTTACTTAATTACACTGTGTTATGTGAACTTTCAGGTGGATGCAATAGTTAAACTAAACAACTTTAGTAAGCAGTACTGAAGAGCATCTAGTTTGTTGGATTAAATCCCACTATGTGCTCTAATAACTCTAGACCAGTAGGTGGCTGAAGTGCACCAATAGGTGGTGGAAGGTTGGTTTAAACAAAACATCACCAGAAGAAGACAACTAACTGAACTTCAGAGTCAAATCGTGTTTGAAATGTGGCCGCAAGATTAGGTACGTTTTTGGTGATCTACTTATAAACTATATTGTCACAGTGTAAATGTGTCTATGGGCCAGAATCCAGAGGACAGCAGACATACCTTCACTCTTCTCCAGCAGAGCAGCGATGACGGCTTCATCCTCGATGGGGTTCAGAGAGCAGGTGGAGTACACCATCCTGCCCCCTACTGCCAGCTGCTCCACTCCTCGCACTGCGATCCTGATCTGCAGCCTGACAGACAATCAGAGGAATTGAAAAGACACACACACTTAAGAGCATAACAAACTGCTCTGTTCTGCAACCACTGCAACCTGAGAACAGACACACACACACACAGACAGACCCATGCTGACAGTGCAACCTAAAGAATACAACTCCTCATTAGATGCAACATCTCGTTTCATTAACGAGGTACAGAAAACACTCCTCCAGCAAACACATCACTGCTAAGTCACTGCCAAAGTGCTTAAGCTCCAGACACGATCATCATGTATCAAGACTTTTGGGTTCATCGGGCGAGCATAAAGACACTGGGACACGTTCAGAATGGAGTACTGCTAACTTAACAGTATACTCTGTAGTACAAAACTATGATACATTGTTGACTTCAATACAATTGTGTACACAAATAGTATCTAAACATTTCTTAATTTAACTCATCTAATAAAAGAAATAATCTGCATGTGTGTGTAAAAAATTTTTTTTAATTCAGCAAGAATGCATTAAAATTAACAGTAAAGACATTGAAATGTTTCTTGAGCATCAAATCAGCGCATTTAATTTCTGAAGGATCACGTGACACTGAAGACTGGAGTAATAATGCTGAAAATTCAGCTTTGACTTTACAGGAATAAATTACATTTTAATATCTTTTCAAAGACATACTTACATAACTTATACTTTTTATAAGATATACTTCTACAGATATTACCTCTATTGCATATCTCACTATGGATATAGAAGATCAAGTGGAGCGCATTCCAATATACCACATACCGGTAGAATGGATTTAGACAAATCCAGGTATTCCACGCGTTCAGAACGCTTGCATACTATTGCAGGGTTTCTGCAGGGTTTTTAAACTCAAATTTAAGACATGCACAAATTAAATTAATACCATATGAGCGGGGTAGGGCAATGTCTATAGTACCATATTAAACTGTAAAATTACTCTAAATAGCAATTTACAGTTTTCACAAAAACAAAGTTTGATAAAATTATAAATATAAATTAAATTCTAAATTAAATAAATTAGGGGTGTGCGATATTGACAAAAAAATATGATCTCGATAATTTTCTGGGATTTTATCGATAACGATAATTGTCAACATAACCAGCGTTGTTTACGTTCAGCATGCGCTCACTGTCTACTGAACGTAAACAGCGCTGATTACGTTGATTACGTCCTGGGGTACTCTCCAATAAGGCGGAAGACGGTATCTCGGGGAGAAGAATTGCGTTATTGTTTTCTTTGTGCACAAAAAGTATTTTCGTAGCTTCGTAAAATTACAGCTGAAACCCTGATGTCACATGAACTATTTTACTGACGTCCTTGCTACGGTTCTGTGCGTTGGTCTTGGTGGAGCTCTCAGATGCCATCAAAAATATCTTCATTTGTGTTCCGAAGATGAACGAAGTTCTTACGGGTTTGGAACAACATGAGGGTGAGTAATTAATGACAGAATTTTAATTTTTAGGTGAACTAACCCTTTAACTTACTAGACTTCATCACCTAATGTATGCGTGCACTTTGTAGGTGCGTTTTGTTTGCTTTTCGCGTTATACTCGACAATATCAAATCGTACATCGTTAAAACAATTATTACGATATTATCGCAGGCCATACATATTGCACACCCCTATTCTGTTTAGACGTTTATAATGCATTGTCTTCTTATCGATTCACCAGTTCACATTTAAAGCCCTGCGTGTTTGCAGGGTAAAAACATAGGTGGATTTTTGCATTTGTCTGAACTCTGAACAAAACATCAGTTTTATTGAAAATGCACATTCATTCTCTGCCAGCAGGTGGAGCGAACCATTTCCAGACTTTGAATGTGCAACGCTGGTGTTTATTTAATGAAATCATAGCCTTTTGAAGTTTAATCTTCACATTCAGCCATATCGCAATTCTGGTCTTTCCGTCCCCAAATTTAAGATTTTCTTGTACAATTTAAGACTTTTTAAAGGCCTACATTTAAGACCCCGCGGAAACCCTGTATTCACAGCACACAAAATACACACTGTAAAAACAGTAATAGTACACTATTTTGAACATAGGCCAATTGAACTGGACTAGTCTTACCCGTGGAGATGGAGGCTGTTGCTGGTTGTCCATTTTTTCCACACATCAATGTTTTTCCTCATCGTTCCATCTCCACTGTAGAGAAAAAGGGGCTGATTTTATTGTTTGCGGTTTAATTGCAATGCAATTTCAGATCATTTCATCTTACACTTTATTTTATGGTATCCTTATTACATTTAAAGGCAGTTTAGATGATTTGGATCAAAAACATTTTTGTTATGCTGGTTGAAAGTCTCTTCACATCCTGATAGCAATCACTAAATTAGGTGGTCTAAATGTATTTATATGCATTTATATAATCTGTGGAAGGTGTAGGACCAAAAAATACCTCTGTGCACCCTGTTTGTTAGTTACTTGAAAAAGTAATCTGATTACGTAACTCGAGTTACTTGTTATAATTACTGATTCTTCACCAGATTACACAGATTACAGATGGTGGTCTCATCACCACATTTATACCCTTAGGTAATTTTAAACTGGACTGTATTAACTTTTAAGAGTTTCCTGTGGACTCATGAGATGATATGCTATTTTTTTTATTCAATTACATCAGTGTTTGGTTAACAAGGCAGCAAATTTTGAATCAAATAAAAGTGCTATTCAGGAATGAACTCTACAATCCTACTCAGGCAAAAAGGCAAGCCATAATTACATCTTTAAAGTCAACTTCAAATCCTTTCATCGACGTAGAGAAATGTTTAGGCAGCAAAACCAGGCTGACCACATAGTCTGTATGTCTGTCTGTCTGTCTGTCTGTGTCTGTGTGTCTGTGTGTGTGTGTGTGTGTGTGTAAGATGTTTGGCCTGCTGGTACAGAGCAGAGGGTGTTGTGCTGTTGTGCTGATTCTGCTGCAGGCCATCATCGACGTAGAGAAATGTTTAGGCAGCAAAACCAGGCTGACCACATTGTCTGTATGTCTGTCTGTCTGTGTCTGTGTGTGTGTGTGTGTGTGTGTAAGATGTTTGGCCTGCTGGTACAGAGCAGACGGTGTTGTGCTTGGCACCTGATTCTGCTGCAGGCCAAGTATAGAC